CAGGTACACGAGCGTCCTCGATACCGTTTCTATCTCTGATACGAGCGTTCTCGTATACCCGTCGAGCGTACTCGGCTTCTCCGGGCATCGATCTTCGTATACAGGGCATTCCCTTATACTTAGTCGAGTCGCCGCTCTAAATCCGTCTTCGTACGAGTGTTCTCGTACGTCCGCCGACCAGATTCGGCCTCAAAGCCTCTAGTGCGAGCGTCCTCGTACTCTCGTCGAGCGTACTCGACGACCTGTTCCTAATCTCGCGTTACCGCGTACCGGGATTCATCCGTAGAATCCATCCGGCGGGCAAACTACGTCGACCAATCCGCGCCGTCGAGCGACCCGTCACGATCTACGATCGAACGGACTCGCGGTACCGCCACGAACGCACTCACCGACGAGCGTTGCGTTGTACCAACCGCTACGACACGATCATCCGCGCTTGCGCTCTTGCTACTCGCACCAAGACGCCTCACGTCGAACTTTAATAATTCAGTCACCGTTGCTCTAAATAATTATTTCGCCGTTTGCCTAAATAATTATTTCACCGTCGCCTTCATAATTATTTCACCGTCACTTTTGTATTTATTCCACGCCGCTTTAAATAATTATTTCACCGTTCGCCTAAATAATTGTCTCACCGTTGCCGATACTTCGGATTTATTTCACACCGCTTTAAATAATTATTTTCGCCGTTCGCTCAAATAATTATTTCACTATTGCCGATACTTCATCTTTATTTCACACTGCTTTGTATTTATTTCACGCCGCTTTAATAACTATTTCGCTATTGCTTAATAATTGTTTCACCGTCGCTTATACCAATCTCACCGATACTTTTACGATTATTCCACGCCGCTTTAACTAATTATTTCACCGTTGCTATTATACCGATCGCACCGATACTTTTCTATTTTACGCTACTTGTATATTCTTTCGAATTCGCGTCGCACACGCTTCGCATGTACACACGAACATTGAAGCAGATCATTTGAAGCAAGTCATTTCAACATCTTACTTAATTAACGTTGTTTCTTTACTTTGTTATAAACGAGCCTTTATTTTTTGACATATCCCCAACCGACCGAACCTGGATTCCGGCGAGCTACTCCGCGTTCGCCGAAGCTCACACGGTTTCATCTTCTTGTTTGCAATTTACTTTAGTAAAATTTTTATGCATGAGACATATTCTACAAAAAAAGTTAGCTTAAAATGATTCAACCATGCCATATAACGTTGCTCCTCCTAAATTGTCAT